ATTTTTTATTTTATTCGTAAAGTTAATCCTTAAAAAATTATCTGTTTAGGTTTTTGTTATTTTTAAAACATTGGCACGGCCATTAATCGTCGAACCTCTATTATAGACGAAAAATTAAATTTAAAAATCCATTAACAACTTTTCAAAATAGTAAGCTTAAGGATTAACTGGATTCTGTAAGAGTAATGCTTCCTTTTTGCTTATAAAGTTTATAGCGTGCATGGATATGCACGGCAGTCCTTGAGCTGTCTAGGTCATAGGTCAATAATTGACACTGTAAGAAGCGCGAAAAATTAATTTAAAACAAGGATCAACATTTAATTAAGAAAGTTGTATTATTTAACCTTATATTATTTTATATTTTTATTCTCTACGTGTTTATAAAACTTAGTATAATTTGCTATCACATTGTCAGTTAAGCACTGCATTAAAGTAATTGTTGACCTGGAAAATGGCCATTTTTTCTATCAATTCTATTTAATTCTGTCTTCCTCATAGTCACAGCATATAAATATTTCTTTTTGAAATTCTGTGCAAAAATAAACTGACAGTTGTAAAAAACGAAAAAAGAAAAAAATCAAATTCTCTTAAGATTCACTAAAAAAGGGCATTTTTTTGTTACATTTGATGATTCTTTTTTAATAAAAAAAACAACTTATGAACAGCAACAGAATAAATTTCAGTGCTATTGAAAAATTCAAAGTAAATTAAAAAATAATTATTCAGTGAAGTTTTTTTCTGTGAAATTTGAATGTTTTTTTTCAAAAAGTATTTATTGAATTATTTTTGGTAACATTCGGGACGAATTTTTATTATATTTATACTTGATATTGTGAAACTCTATTGAAATAACATTCGGGTGTTGGAAATTTTTTTACAGTAATATAAAAAGTTTATATTACTGTAAAAAAATTTCCAACACCCGAAAATTTAAAAGTACACACTATATACGGATGGTGAAATTGACAAAAATATTTTATCAATGTTTTCTAATAAAATAACCCGTTCAAGATACAAATCATAAGTGCTGGAAATTTTTAACCGGATAATTCTCTGACTTTTAATAATTTTAAAACAGTAACATTTTTGCTTTCATTTCACAAAAAAAAAATCTATTTTGGAGGTGGTGCGCAAAGTATTTGAGAACAAATATCAAGAAAAGAAAGAAATCAACTTAAAATCTGTATACATTTAACTTAGAAAAAACAGAAAAGGTTATCAAATAAAACCATTTTTATGTCTCTGTTGTCTTGGAAGCGATTGCATGTCTCTGATCAGATGGTTATCGTTTATGTTGACAATTACGTCCATGATGACTGGACTGAAGGAGTATACTGACGCTGCTTTTTTTACTTAGGTCTCTCTCTCTCTCTCTCGATGGCGCCCAAGATGTAGAAGCCAATGAGATTCGGATCAAGAGAGCTAGAAAACTACGGGTTGGGTGTAACATGTTAATTCTCGGTTAGACACATTAGGTCCTATGATCCATAATGGAAAGAAAGAAAGATTGCTGTTGGAACACGTATGTCCAACTCCTCAATCCACATCCGCCAAAGACTATCACAGACGACTTCAACTTGTGCCTCACAATGAGTACCTTCGCGGGATTCGAACAGAGTCACCTGTCCATCTGTCTATTTCAGAGTCATGATTGGCGATTACTGTCACAGGCACAGTAGGTCATGTTAATGCACACGATACATCTCAAGTAAAATTACGTTTGGTCCTCCATTTTATGGCACACAAATCTGGTGCATTCTTTCTACTACTGATGCCTTTATTGACTTCCTCTCAAGGCTAAATAAAACAAACCTTCTCATTATTAGCTATTTCTATTGCAAACCGTCTTTTGCTGTGTATGGGTACATTTCAACACACATACAGGGGAGGGCTGGAAAATTCTCGTCACGGCCAAATAACTGTTTTATTTTTTTAAATTACGATTCTTAGTTATATGCAAATCCTGCACTTGGATCATTGCATCACAAGCACCGAAAATATAAATCAAGGCTCAAAGTAATTAAAGTTATTTCAAAAGCAACCAATATAAAATATTTCATCACAGACGATATCTTAACGTGTTGTATAAACCAGTTAATATACGTAAAAATACGTAAAAATATTTGATAGATTTCTCCGGTGTGATCTCGTCCCGTGTAACAGTTTTACATATAACATCACTTGTACTATACGCTCTAAAAGAATAGAATTAATGTTCTAAAAGAAAGCCAGGATATAGCTAACGATCTTATCTGCCACACTATTCTTGATAACTGAGACGGCTGAAAGTATTTAAACAAACTTTGAACAGTTTATGAACAATTTTGTTTCCGATGGACATTTTATTCGAATATTTAAAGAAAGCATGTCGGTTGAATTTAACTTATGTCATAAATATAGAAGTTAAAATTTCTGGCAGCATATCTTGTATTGTAACCTTAACGTAATATATAAGTAGTAGTTTAGTACTTACATTAGTACATCAAATCCCTTAACTTATTAATACCTATTGTTACATAATCCTATAATACCGGATTTATATTTTACAGAGCATTAGGGAGTCTTGTACATTGGAAAATGCTTTCAAGTAACGAGTATACTTTTTACGTATTTTCACTCGTGTTTTTTTAAGACTAGTTTGATTTTGAAAATGGATAAAACAAACTTGTAAAAATCACTCGTAACTCGTAAATCACTTATAAAGATTAAAATAATGGCTTATAAATTGCTATTTTCATTACGAATGAAATTATCGCTCCAATTTTTTGAGTATTAGGACTCAATTTGCTTTTGATGACTGAAAAATACGTATTTCGCTGGCTAAGCTTCTACACTTAAACTATTATTAGAGGTGTAATGAACTTTGTGACGGCAATTATAACTCATCTAAAGACATTAGCGATATTAAAAGCGAATATGATTTAGGACACAGTTAAGCGTACAGAGCAATTTTTAATGTAATCAACTAGTTTTAACGCCCAATTCTAGCCTAAATCGATTGATGTAACTAGTTGACAATGTTTTCTCACTTTGATTAAAAATACAAGTGAGGCTGTAAAAAACTGAATGAAGAGAAAGTCATACATGACAGAATTTTGAATTATCTATTTTATGAGAGCTGCTATTTATGCTGACTGTCGTAAAAATATGTATTTTGTTCGTATCACGTTTAATCAATATCGCTAACAAATTTTTTGTGACTGACTCTGCATACCAATACTTCCATCAGTCTGACTGTATGTATATCATATATATTATATATATATATATATATATATATATATATATATATATATATATATATATATATATATATATATATATATATATATATATACAATACTTTTTATATTGTTTAAAGTATTTCCCGTGCCGGTACTGTGATTCCGTAAGAAAATATTCCCTTCTACCAACCTCTTTTAATTGATCACCTTACTTTTATGAAAGTAGCAGCTGGCATAAAAATATCATAATATAAAAGCAACTCGCCCTTCAATTAAGTGTCAGCTTAAGTAGGTGGAAACATAAGTGTTTTTACATAACACATTACCGGAAGTGCCGACCTTTACAAGGTCAGATGATGTCAGTGACATTTAACAAAGACTTATGCTGCCTCCATTTTTTTGGTCTCTTACTCATTTTTCTACTACAGTAGAATCATTGATAACTTGAAATATATATTTTGTTTGAGGCATACAAAATGGTGGCACATCGATTGATATTTATGGTTGTTGATGTCATGTAGTTATAAATCGGCAATTTTAAAAGCAGAAAGCATTTCTCGTTGAATCTACTTTTCTAAATGACAATTCTTAGTCATTAATTGTTTTTTAAAAACAGTATTATTTTAAGAAATGACTCATTTCACTGTAGTTCATCTCCATAGTTTTGTCTAATACCGACGATTGTTGGCGTTTTGGAGTTCATGTCCCCAGAACTGATCCTTGTTATAGATTTCGCAATAATTCTTTGTTCAAACTTGTTTAAAATCATCCATTTTATATGTATACGACGAATGTTATCGCCAGGAAATTTTGAATACTAGCTTTTACAAATGAAATATGCAGATATATTTTCCTTAATACTATTGTTTTTGAGATGAAAAACTTGTAAAATAGTGTTATAAAGCAAGAAATGACACTTTCTGCCGAAATATTTTCTTTTGCAAAAATAAGAAAATGTGATATGCATTTTTGATTTTCAGTGCATTCAAGCTTTTCGTGTCTTTAGATTTCGTCTGCTTCTATTGTGTATTTGTCAATCTGTCGTATAGCAGCCGATATCTGAAAAAAAAACCAACGGGCCAGGTGCTGAACAAAAGATTTTGACAAATCCATCGTAAAAAGCTAACTTGTGCTACTGCCTTTTCTCACACATTAAAAGAAATTGTTTGCCATAAACACAGTATACATTGACATCGCATAGACCTAATTATGGACGAAACTTTCACCATTAATAGCAAATATTACAAAGCAAAAACGTATGGATCTCTTTTTCATATATTGATTGTGGGCCATGAGAGAATTTGTCTCAAAGCGTAGTAAAGCGAAATAATTTCCTTCGTAATGTAAAGAGATGTAACAGAATAATCTAGAAACATGTTTACGTTTTCTAAGAAATTGTTTCAATCGGCCATTTTTAAAAATGTAATAAACCAAAAACCCCTTTAATTCTCCATTTCAGGAAGGATGATTAACACTGACGATAAGATGTAAAGAATATCGCTTTCATATACAAACTGTAAATATATTCATATTAAAGTCAGCCTTCTTAACATATGTGGCCCAGAGACAATCCGAGAGTAAAATACTTAACATTAAAAATGATTCAATTGAATGTTATAATCATTACATCTCTGGCTTCAAGATGTCGCTCAAATGAAATGATTAGACGAAACACATGCTAGCAAGATCAGTCGCATAAAAAAAATGTATAACACTTAGTGATTGTAGAAGTCGACATGACTGTTATCGATGCATTCTTTTCCTCCATTATCTTACCTTGTTGCCATTCAGGAGCATGCATGGTGTCTGACATCCACATTGGTAGTGAAGGTTCTAACATGGCGATTCCCATATTTGCAAATGTAATTGAACCTAAAATAAAAAAAAATGTAACAAGTATTATGCAGAATGAATATTTAAAATGGTGTTAGCTAAGAAGTCGTGTTTTAACGAAATAAAAGAAAATATTTATTTTGAAAGAATTTATAAACAGTTGTAGTTTGATTATTTTCCCCCAGCCTTACATATGCCATTTACATAAGTGAAAATGTTCCCGATTCTCCAAACGAACAAACTAGTCAGATCGAGGAAAAAAGTAAAAGCAATAACCTTTACCTTAGGTTGCGAAATAGATTGCCGTTTTCCGCGACGTATAACCATCTGATAACATGGAAGGCAATTTTAATAATAAAGAGATTTCCTCTCCTTTTATGCAATTTCAGAGCTCACATGGTAACCCTGTCACGTGACTATTGTAGCTATAAACGATGTAAGGATTTCAACAACGCAATACTGCTCCTTTCCAACAGTCAATTTCTCCACAAAATGACTGAAGCCTCTTCGAGATTAGTCAAGCCAAAGATCTCAAAGATCGATTTTTTTTCAAATTTTATTTTTCAAAAGATTAACAAAAAGATTAAAAACCATAGATCGTAATATCCAGTAAAATGTTTAATCGATCATGAGATTTTAATGTCATTAAGAATTCAAATCGAAATTTCAATTTTTTTTTTACTCGTTTGTTTTTAGATTTATCTGGAGAAAAGTGAATGAAATGACGAGTTTCAAAGCAATATACATCTTTAATTTTCATATAATAAACGACTAAATTAAATGCTTACGGTTCTAATTAAGGAAGAGTAACGTCTGAAACATTTGGGTAGGAAGAATTTTTGTATGCAGTGGATAAATATCAAAGTGTGGCCAAATCTAGTTACGCTTTTGTGTCAGTTTCATATTGAATTATATTCCCTAATATAAGTTTTATTTAATTAGCTTTTATGTTTCTCTAACTCTTCAGATGTTGAATATATAACTAATTCTAAATTCTATTTTTTCCATTTTTACACTATATTAATTTTATCTTATAAATTGTCCCCTGTTCTGTCACCCATGAAATAAAAATAATTGTTTATACGTAAAATGAGAATCTACGTACATCAAATCGTCTTTAAATTAAGTGATAGCAAGAATTATCGTTGAACTTTTAAAATATTAATTCAGTACTTAAATACAGAGATCAATTTTGAGTTCTTCTGTAGTTTATTGATGCCTCTACACCTCCCTAGCTATTGTGAAGATGGCCAAACCAAGAGTCCTCCACGTGAGCTAACTTAAATGCCGCTCGATAAGGCGGCTTTAAAGCTAGTTTATAATAAAACGTTTTGGATACAAAAGGAAAAATAAGAGTTACTCCTCTTGAACCATGAAAGCAACAATAATAGCTAGTATAATATATTATTATATAATTTTAACGTCGCATAATCTGGCTACCCTGAATCTGAGCTCAACGAAAATCGTTCCCTGTGCCAAATTTTTCTTGGGCTTTTTTATGAAATATAAATCATTGAAATCTGACTAGTGGGAGCGGAGGAGTTGCTTGTACACACAGACACAAACACACATACACTGCACTATATATATATATATATATATATATATATATATATATATATATATATATATAAATTTCTGCTTGAAGATGGAACTGAGCTCAAATAATTATATTGAAGTTTTCGGCTCTTGTTTTGAAACATGAGATCTCTTATGTCGCGAGTTGGAATCATATTTTTAAATAAATAATTATATTTATGCTCTACAAAAGTAGAGCATAAATATAATTATATTTTCACACACACACACACACACACACACACACACACACACACACACACACACACACACATATATATATATATATATATATATATTCTATTTTTACTTTCAGTCATTTTACCTCCCTTTAAACTGTAACGGTTTACTGATTATGCGAATGCAACGTCTTTAATTTTAAATTTGTAATCAATTTTTTTCACTAATAATTTTTTCTACTCCCCTCACATTTCGCTAATTTTTGAAAAAAAATGTAACTCACCAGCATCGCATTTAACACACTTCTGTGCAATTTTATTTTATGCGTTACGTAGCAGTGAAACTCCCATGAACCATTTGTTTACTTCCAACAACATAGATCACGTGCCTAATGAGTTGGGAACCACACAGCGAAACTATAGTCGCACACCAAAACGTAGGTATACGTATATGTACTAATTTATATATATACCTATGATTGAAGGTGAACAATGCCGACTATGCAGAATTAGATTTCTCTAACTTCTTAAGGCTGAGCTGACGTCATTCGTCGCAGCATATAAGCAGAAAACAAAAAGGTATATTTTATTTTAAGCCAGGAATAAAAGGATGCTATTTTTATATTTGCAAGAAACTCGTTTATGTTTGAAAATCAATTGGTGAAATGTTTAATCGGTTTCATGTTATTGAACTGACTTAAAAGCAATTGTAAAATCGGATGGTTTTCTGGTACGAAGTTCATCTTTTGATAAAACTATCAGATACGTTATATGGTAACAGAACTATAATTATCGGTGTATATAATCTAGTCTAAATGAAGATCTGTTATGGCCCTAGGAGCTAATCATAAAGCAATAATGTCCCTTATATTGGTGGTGTGTGGAATAATTATTGCTAAATAGCTAATCGAAATGAAAAAGAAATTAGTTGAGCAAACATCCGGCGAAATAAGAATAATTATCAAAACCGAAGTTGATAATAAAGGAGAGAGAAATACATTTTCATTGCAGTCTTAATCGAAGATGGTTCAATTACTTTCACCAGAAGTAAATTGTACCTATTTAACAGTTGATCGACAGTATTTTTGATTCCAGCTTTTCATGTCTTAAATCTATAGATAAAAAAAATTCCACAGAAAACAAAAATATTTCAATGGCTGACAATGCTGGGAAATCTTACTTATTATAAAACGCAGATTGTGTGTGTGTGTGTGTGTCTGTCTGTACGTTTATATATTACATTTTGTACATTTTTCAACCGATTTCAACAAAACTTCACAGGACTGCGTAAAATTACCTTGCGGTGGTTCTGGCAGCGCCAAAAATTGGAAGAACACAATTGTATTTGCACGAAATCATTTTGAAAACACGATAAAACACGATTCTGTCGCCAGAATGAAAGGGGGACAACTCATATCGAGTTATACTTATTATTATAAAACCCAGGTTGTTTGTGTGTGTGTGTGTGTTCGTTTATATATGAGATCGGATTTCCTACATTTTTCAACCGATTTCAACAAAACTTCACTTTTTTTTTGGCAGGTAGTGTTTCTTATTGTCTTGCACACTTTTTTTCTTTATTTTTACATTCAGAATGCCTTAAAAATTCCATTTGCAAGAAAATTGTTTATAATAAAATTCTATTCAATCGATAGACTCATAACGATTGAAAACAATGTTTTTGTTTGAGTTTGGGTTTGACCAATTCGTAAAAAAAAACAAAAAAAAACAAAAAAAACAAAAAAACTGCGTGTCCGTCAACCTTAAACAATAATCTTTGTTAATTTTATTTTTCAGTCTTTATGATGGTCGATACTTGATCTATCTCTTACTGTTACATCCCCTGGCAACGCCGGGCTCTACTGCTAGTCTAATAATAGAACTTCATAGTACAAACATGACGATAGATACAAAAACTAATAGTCAGCTTATTAAAAAAAGTCAGATTCGGCTAAACTAAGATGACTATTGTATGAAAATCTTTTCCTGATTAGTTTGTTCTGTTGAGTGAAGCAGCTCTAAAGTGAGGGTGCGATTTACAACGTATGGTGCATGCCAGAATCGACCATTATTTAGTATCTGACATTCTTGATGGATCCTGATTTTTCTTTCGTTATACAAATGTATATAATTTTGAGGTATGGCACATGATAAAGGTTTATTTATACCCCACCTTATGTTATTACATAAGCTGAAGGATTGGGATTTTGAAGGGGTTAAGATTTTCGCAACACCCCGAACTGAGTTTCTAAAAGCATAAAATAAAAACCTTTAAATTTTTTATCATCCTAGGCTTCCGTACTTTTAGTTATGAACTCACGAAAGACCTATTTACAAGAAACGGACACACGGCAATCGATCAAGGTTAGAATTATACTTACGTTGTAAATCGAGTCCCTATCTAAATTCTTAATTTCCCAGGAAATGACATTTAATCAAACTACACAGATATATATATATATATATATATATATATATATATATATATATATATATTAGTTTAACCGAATATTTACCAATATATTTATGTGGCAAATATTACTGTAAATATAATGAGTGAATAACTCGGGAGAGAAGTTTTGATTAAAGAGAAAGTTTTTTTTTTCAGTTAATTTTTGTGACTGAAAAGAAGCATCTCTACATAAGAATTCAAGAAAATTAAATCAAGAATAAGTGCAAATACAAAAAAAAAAAAAAAAAGAAACTAAATAAATTTAGTAGTTTTAAAGAGACTGCCTGCCTAGCAAGCTAACTTTTCTCGAAGATGGAAGATGTGTGATAGAAAATTAAAAGAAAAAAAATCGAGAAAACAAATGTTAATAAGTTAAATTTGAAATGTTGTGTGCAGGGTGTTTCCAGCATCCTTGCCTTCACCCCAACAAGTCTGCTTCAGAGCTGGGCATGTGCGGCAATTTAACTTCCATTTCCGGTTGAGAAAAGTCGTTTTAATGCACGTGGATAAGCATAGCTTCAGTCCGACGCCATCTTATCAGTTGCGTATGCATAATTTTTGCCTAACTATAGAGAATAGCAAAGAAACGTAGGAAAACAGTGTATTAAAGTGCGTAGATATTTGTGCTTATGCTATGTATCTGATGAAGAGTAAAATATATAAATGGATAGTCAAATACTATTATATGTACAAATAAAAATATACTTGATTCAGATAGGATTTAAACATTTAGTGAGGTATTTTGCATACGTAAACATTTGAGCTTAGAATTTACCTTTAGGGAACCAAATAGAAATAAAATCGAATCAAAATCGAATTTTTAATCATTT